TTAGTCAATAAATTTTGGAGACAAAAATTTATCCCATTAAAAATTTAATTAGGTGGCCATATTTAGATACTGGACCTAATATAATTTTGTTCAGTAATTTTCGGAATTACTGTTTGGGGTATTTTTATATTATTCTTATTAAGTAGTTTATGTGTAGAATACTTGTTATTTGTGCCATAAATACTTAATATTTATGAAAGTTAGATTTTATATTTTCTGGGAAGTATTTGACATGTCAATATAACTTAGAAATTTTAAAATCGATTTTTGGAATTAATTTCCTATTTTTCTATTTTTAAATTCGTTTATTGAATAGAAAATGGGAAAACTTATTTTTGACAATGAAAAATTAATTTTAATTCATAATAAGTCGCGACCAGAGACTTTAAGCTTGTATAAAAATTTTCATAATTTTTAAACATGTAAAAGTATTTATTTTGTATTTTTGAAGTAATTGGATCGGTACTATTCACTAGTCCGATTTTTAATTATTTTAAATTGCAAAATTAATATTTTAAATTCTATAAAAATCAGATTCTGGTTCTGGAACTTATTTTTGACTTTGAAAATAAATTTTGATATTTTTGGAATTTCGAAATATATTTTCACAATATAATTTCGGTTTTCTAACTTTGAAAAATGGTTTTCAAAATTTTAAATTTTATTCATTCTGGAATTTTAGGATTTCCAGATTAATAAAGTTTACTGGGAGTCTCCAACAATTATTTGCTAATTTAGAAAACATATATATATTTAATTCGAAATAAAAGCCCTTTTTCGAATTTAAATATATATAAATACGGTAAATATAAAATATTTTATTCTCTGGAATTTAGAAAATCAAATTTCTAACATTCTGGAAATTTAAAGTATTTTATGATTTTTAATTAAATTACTTGCTAGTTTAATTAATTTATTGTTGATAGTTTATTCCGTAGAATAGAATAAACTAGGTCTGGGGCGAGCGCGGTTCACCTGGTGTATGCTTTAATATGTATGATGTGATGCATGTGATGCTTGTATGTATTATTGCATGGTGGATGATTGTGGCTTAGTTATATTTGTTGTAATTTTAAATACGGCATGCGTGTCGTGCCTCATCTCTATACTCTGGATGTAATTCTCTTCTTTACCTCAAATATTCTTTTTTCTCGAAAATTGTAAGAAGATAAGAAGACGAAGTCCGTTCGTGATAGAGAATCCTAAGGAAGACGTGATGGGCCGGAGATAGAGATCTCTTGATCAAGGCGCTATCGTTTGTTTTTCTTTAGGAGCCACAATCATTTCACGTTTACTTATTATGCATGTGATGTATGATTGAATGTATGCATGTATGTGATTTTCGCTAGTGCATACGCGCGGTGTAT